GTGACTCACATCTGTTTTCTTTATTAGCCAAAGCTCTTTTTTGGCATATAACAAAATTAACTGCAACAAACTTAAGCAGATACTGATTTTATAGTAAGAGCCTATGAGTGTCTCCCAGAGGCTAAAGGCAAGAATTTCGGTAGGCGTCAGGAAAGGCTGGAGCCAGGCGCTAGAGAGTAACTGAGTCACACTCTCTGTGCCCTGTCCCCGATGCTCACTGGACTTCTGCTTCGATTCCTCTCTATGCCGAACGACTGTCTGTGCTTCCTGGGCCTCGGGGCAGGATACGAAGGAGCCATCTCTCCTAGGTTACTCATTGGGGCTTCAGTTTTCGAAAGCAATGGATCCTAAATCCCAATCCCAATAGCTCAATCATCAGGAACCCTGTGGTACAAACAGTATGGTCACAGAGGCCTGTCTCCCTGTGACGGTAATGCATTGTCAGGTGCCATCGATTTTTGTTGGGTGCCGTCAAGTCAATTCGGACCGATAGCTGCCGTATGTCCAATAAGCGGAAACACTGCTTCGTCCTGCACTATCCTCACAATTAGTTTTAAGCCCAATTTGTATCCACCGTGTCACCCGGTCTCATTGAAGGTCTTCCTCTTTTTCCGTGACCCTCTACTTCTCCAAACCTGGTGTCCTTTCTGGTCTTTCCTGGTAACATGTCTGAAGTATATGAGATGAAATCTCACCATCCTTACTTCTAAAGAGCATCATGTTGTTCTTCTTCCGAGACAGGTCGGTTTGATCTTCTGGAAGTCCGTGGTCTATTTAATACTTTCACCAACATCGTAATTCAAATGCACCAATTCTTCTTCCTTATTCATTGCCCCCCTTTCACATGTCCATAAGGTGATTGAATATCTCATGAGTTGGGTCATGCACACCTAAATCTTCAAAGTGACATTTGGATTAGATAGGCAGCTTCAAGTCAAGAAAGAATAGGAACCTATCCTAATAGATGTCTATCCTCTGTTTGGTCATTAATTCATTCGGCAAATATGTATGGTATGTCGACACTCTTCTAATACTTGGGGATCTGCAGAGGAAACAAAAGAGAATCATTCAAAGTTCTTTTTTATTCTTATCAAATACTTTTTTTTAATCAAATACTTTTATTAGGTCTCTTATCACAATCCATACATTCATCCAGTGTGTCAAGCACATTTGCACATATGTTGCCATCATCATTTTCAAAGCATTCTCTTCCAACTTGAGCTCCTGATATCAGCTCCCCACTTCTTTCCCCTCCCACCCCCGCCCCTGCCCTCCCTCCCTTATGAACCCTTGATAAGTTATAGATTATTATTTTCATCAAAGTTCTGATTTGCTAAATGTGTAGTGTTTTTCAAACTCTTCCTGGCTCTCCCTCCACTTTTTTTTTTTAATAATGTGGCAAGGTCTGTGCCTACTCCTTCCATAGCACCATATCAAGGACATTCGGTTCCAAATACTGTTTCCCCTTCTATACCCACTGCTCAGGAAGCCACCAGTATTCAAATCCTGGCAGGCTCACCCACAGTAGACAGGTTTCCGAAGAGCTATATCTAGACGAAGATAAACCAGGAAGAAAGGTCTGGCAAATGAAAGCCCTAAGGATTAGAACAGAATATTGTCCCACTGGACTCAAACATACCAGAAATGCTGAAAATGACCCAGGGCCAGGCAGCGTCTCATCCTGGAGACTGACATACACTGGAACCAACTCCACAGCAACTGGATGGAAAGAAAACAGAATGGAAAAGGCCACTTGCATTGAGATAGAGAATGTGGCTAAGGTTTTCTTTCCTCGGAGGAAAGAAAGGAAGACACTGGGAATGTTAGCTTCTTTCTGAAAAGCTAACTGCAACAGAAGCTTTACTGGGCACCTAACTGCAAGGTCAGCAGTTCAAAACCACCAGTTGCTCCTGGAACCTCACAGGGGCAGTTTGAAGGTATACCAGAGGGTCACTATGAGCCAACATGGAATTGATGGCACTGAGCTATTTTCTATACATTAAGTGTTGGGCTGAGCATGGAGAGTACGATGATGTGTTTATCAAGACATTTAAACTTTAAATAATAGAAAATACCACTCAACTGGCTTAAGCAATAAACAGATTCGTTATCTCACCAAACAAGAATTCCCAAAACAGGTTAGGTCAGTTTTAAGATTGGTTAATTTATAAATCCACCAGCCTAATGAGAACTTCAATTTCTTTTTATTTCTCCATTTTCTTTTCCCTAGCCAAATGATTTGTTCTTAGCGAGCTGCCCTCTTGGTTTCAATGCAGCTGCCCCTACCCCAGGCATCACCACTTCCCGAGACTGCCTATTGGAGAAATAAGTACTGCTACTTTCCATGGGTCATTTATTATTATTATTTTTTAAACTTATCAGTGGAGAAAACAATCTTTCCCAGACATACTTTTGGACTTCTGATGACATCTCATTGTCCGGATTTGCTCGTGCTCCTGCTTAAACTGATCAGGGTTCACTCTCTGGGGCTGGGGCAGTGCTTGGGGCCTCTCTCCTCTGAAGCTCACCAAGTGATGAGTTGAACACATGCCGGATTCTACCAAAAGAAGGAAGGGGATTGAAAGAGGGCAGAAACGCCACTGAGCATTTGTACCACACGATTAAATAGAAAAGTACAAATTGTAACAGAGACTGTGATCAGTGACCAGAGAAGCAGGTATTGAGAGAGAGAGAGAGACAGAGAGAGAGAGAGAGAGAGAGAGAGAGAGAGAGAGAACAGGGAGCCCTGGTGAGGACACAGGATCAGGAAGACCACACTTACGAAGTGAAAGATGAACAGGAACTAGGCCAGCAAGGCAGGAGGGGGAACTATCCAGGCAGAAGGAACAGGCTTAGCTCATTCGAGAACATGAAGGGAGGCCCGTGCGTCTGGGGTCCTGGGAGGGAGGAGCAGAACCGCATGGAATGAGGGTGAGACAGCAGGCGGGACCTTTCTCTGGATCGGGGAAAGATTTGGGTTTATCTGAAGAGCAAAGCAAAGGTGTGAAACCCTCACTGCTGTTGAGTCATTTCTGGCTCATAGCGACCGAGTAGAACGGCTCCCAGGGTTTCTGAGGCTGGAAATCTTTCCTGGAACAGCAAGCCTCATCTCTCTCCAGAGGAGCTCCTCATGGCTTAGAACTGCTGACTCTGTGATCAGCTGCCCAACTCATAACCCTCTACACCATCAGGCCTCCAAGGGCCTGAAGCAGGAACTTGGTGTGATCTGACTTCGAGTCTTTAAAAGAACTGTTGGCAGCTGTGTAGAGAATGGATGGAGGGAAAGTCAAGGCCACTCACTCACTCGCTCACTCACCCACTGCTGTCAAGTGCATTCTGGCTCACAACAATGCTGTAAGCCAGAATAGAACTGTCCTTGGGCATTTCCAAGACTTTTCCTCTTTACAAGAGCAGAAAGCCCACTGTGTCCATGAGCTGATGGTGGCTTGGCCTGGGCCAGGACAGTAGAGATGGAGGGACATGGACAAAGTTAAGCATGACCAGCACTGTTGGTATGCCAGGGGATACTAGGATGAGCTAGTCTCAGGAGTTCTTTCCCAGGTGCTAAGGTCCTTTTGAGGGCCAACACTGGCATGTTGTTGTGTGTGTCCTTGGGTCTGCTTTGAATGACCCCATGTGACAAGGTTTTAACCGTTCAAGTCATGGTTATCATTTTGATCTAGAGTCATCTCTGTAATACTTTCTGTTTGGTAACCGGCTATTCCCGTCCTTCCATTATGAATAGAGGGAGGTCACCGGAGGCTTATTTCCCGTGTAGATCCCACAAATGTATCTTGGGCTCACCCTGTCATCCATAGCCTTCTGCAAACCAGCATTTCACCATTTAGGCTCCGATACTATTATTCCCTCCTGGGGCTTCAGATGATATGATTTACAATCCTCCAGTCACCAATATTGGTGTGCTTCTTCCATGTGGCCTTAGTTGGCCTCTCATGTAGATGGTTTCTAGGCTGGAAACTCAACCACAAGGTTGTTCTCCCTCAGAGTTGCAGATGGGTTTCAAACACCCACCACCTTTCCGGCTCTCTGCTGGAGAACACAAGCGACCGCACACTGGTGTGACTGCCACCTGCCGCGTGGGCAGGGCAAGAGTCTAGGGAGTCCAGAAAGTGAGAGAAGATGGGATCACAAGATTGGGGCCCAGAGATGGTGTGATTTCGGGCTAGCCTCTGAAGAAGAGGGATGTGTGAACAGGGCATGGCAGGCAGGCTGTGCGGGGTGGGTTTGAAGAAGCCCAAGGAGCTGAGAGCAGACCAGGAGGAGGAGCAGCCAGCGGAGGGGAGGGGAGGCAGGGTGTGGAGGCTCCTGGAGGGAGAACACAGGAGCGCTGGCCTTGAGAAATGAGTTTGTGAAGGGCTGTTTTGGGAAAGGCGGCTGGAAAAGTCATGGGGGTCAGAGTGAAGGGAACACTGAGTCAGGGTAGGATAATAGTATAGTTCCAGATGAAAACGAGGGTACCAGGTCAGTCATGCGGTAGAGAGAGACAGAAAACCACCGAGGATGAAGAAACTTCACTTAAAGGCTGGAAAGAGGTAGCCATTCTCCCAACCCCCTCACCTAACCCAAGTGTGCAATTGAGGCCCTGAGGGGCAGTGACCTGCCAGGGTGCCCGGGAGTGGGGACAAGTAGGGGGAGGGTGTGTGTGTGGCCAGACGCTGCTGCGGAAGGCGGGGACGAGAAGGAGGGGCTGGGTGACAGTGCAGAAGCTTGCTGTGTTTTGGGGAACTGACCCCTGGCAGGCCCTACCCGAGGCACTTCCTCCAGCCCCTCCCCTGGTCTTTCCCCGCCGCCGCTCTCTCTCGCGTCGGGTTGTGTGCGAGGAACCCACAGTGAGGACATTTCCTGATGCACCCACAACGCCCAGGAGTTGTCTTGGGAGCATTCTGAGCGCCAGACCATCAACACCTGGAGCCGCCTCGCTTGGGGAGACGACCCTTGTCCCCCGCTCGCGGTGCCCGCGAGCCGCAGACGGACAGGCCATGTCCCTGGCGGAGGCCATCCGCCTGTGGAACGAAGGCGTGCGGGCGGCCGACCAGAGGGACTGGAAGGGCGCTCTAGACGCCTTCGCCGCCGTCCAGGACCCCCACTCCCGGATCTGCTTCAACATGGGCTGCGTACACACCATCCTGAACGACATGCCCGCGGCCGAGAAGGTGGGTATGGGGGGGTCCCTCTCCCAGCTCTCCGCGCTTCGCTTAAGGCGGGCTCTCTACTGGGCTGCACTTTAGAAACCACGGGAGCTTTATTCCAACCAAAGACGCCGAGGCCCCACCTCCAAAGACAGCGATGCCATTGATGGAGCGGGGCTTCCGCACTCAAGGCTTTCAAACGCGCCCCTGGGGTTCCCTGGCAGCCGGGGCCCGGCCCCCAGCCTCAGACGGAGCTCGCCTTTCCCTCCACCTCATCAATCCAAGCCGTGCTTCAATCAGGTCCCGGCGGAAACGGGTCCGCATCTGACTGCTGGCACCTGGTGGCAGGGACGCTCCTCACTTGCCCAGACTTGGTCCTGTCTGTTTCGCCTGCGTCGATGACCCCTGAGCAGGAGGCATCCTCCCAGTGGCCGCGCCGATCACAAGGTGGAGCGCTCCTTTAAGGATTCCCAGGCTGGCAGAAGGAAGTCCGAGATGTCCCCCGAGGGCACTGTGTGTGGGGTGAACGGGGTGGTGATGTGGCAGAGTCGGTTCCCACTCGGAGCGACCCTGTGCACAACACAACGTAGCACTGTCCGGTCCTGTGCCATCACATGGTGGTTACGAGGCTTGAGTCCCTGTGTAAATCCATCTCCTGCAGGGTCTTCCTCTTTGTAGCTGACCCTCTAAGGTAGAGGAAGGTGGTCAGAGAGAGGGACGGACACATGGACTCAAACATCACATGGACTGTGAGGACATTGCAGGGCTCTGAGTCTGAACAGCACCTAATGGCAACAGTCACGTCTACTTCACCCAGCATGACAACCTTCTCTGGGGAAACGTCCCTCCTGATGCCCTGTCTACCCAACTCTCCTCATCCTTCCTCCCTTCGAAGTAGCATTCTAACTGGATTTCTTCCCAGACAGAGCTACCCAGTCTTCTGGCAGTGCATGGTATTGTCGGCAGGCTTTTCCATTGCCATAGTTCAAATGCATCCGTTAGTCTTACGTACTTCCTGTCTGACTTTGAGGCAGGCACCCGAGGCGACTGAAAATACCATGGCTGGTGAAAACCGCTTTTATCTCTTCATGTCATTATTTGACTAGTGAATAGACATGTCCTGCTATGACACTTCAACTTAAAGTGGTCGTTCACTGTGTTTAGGATTTTTACTTACTAAAGTTGAAAAAAAATGGCTTGGGACAGTCACACATTAACCCTCAAACTGACATCTTTAATATTTTAGAAAGATCTTATGCAGCAGATTTGCAGCAAAATGTGTTGGCTGCTTATACCACTGTGTAGCTTCTTACCACTGTGAAAATGTTATAGTGTTACTGTTCACTGTCATCTTTGCAAGGCAGTGTGGACCAATGGCTGGCGTCTAGTCTGAAGGGGACAGTGGTTTGTGAGAGAGGTCAGCAAAAAAAAAGCCAGTTCCTCCCAGGAACTGTTGACGAGTAGGCGAACAAGTCTCAAGCACATCCTGCTGAAATGCCTTCCCAGCTGGACAAGTGGATCAAGGCTCCAGGGTTTACAGACCTGACAGCAGGAACAGGAAAATCACCCCCATCCTCCCCCCCATAGACATATCTGTGGTAGTGGGAGACTGCTAGAGCCCATCCCTGCAGGGGCCACCTGAGGGGCCAGGCAGACAGTGCACAGATTCTGAGAGGGATGGAGACAAAGGGGCATTGTCAGGGAGAAGGGCTTGTGTGGGGAAGGCAGCTGGTCGGGGAGCAGCTGTGTCAGCTGTGACTGTGGGCTCATGGGGTCCTTTGAAGGCTGCGCAGGCCCCTCTCACCTCTCAGCTCACCTGCTCATGCCCCTTCTTGCTCACTGCCCAGACTTCTTCCTTGACCAGGATGTGCCTGGTCTTCTCTTGCTCTGTACCCTTCTTTGTTTTCCACATGAGCCCTGACTCGAATGATCAGCATCTTCTAGACACAATCTCATTTATTTTAATCTAGTCAGCAGTCCCGAGGAATGGGTAGCAATAGCCCCAGTTTACAGAGGGGAAACTAAGGTTCAAGGACATTAGATCACTTGTTACATCACAGGCAACTAGGAAAGGAAGATACAGGCTTTCTGACCCTGTCTGTCTAATCCCTAAGCCTCCCAGCACCTTTAGACACCAGCCATTCCCATGGCTCCTTGACCAGTGTCAGTTTATCCAGTAAGTAAGTTAAGCACGGGCTTAGTTGTGCCTACTCACAGATCTGTAGGGGACAGCTTCACCCTTTATCATCTGCCTCTTTCTCTCTTCCACAGCACTTTCCTACAGACTCAAAGGCTCTTTTCAAATTGCAGTCCCTGGCAGGAAAGAGCCCTGGCCGTGTGGGTTACATGTGAGGCTTGCTCAGGGTTCGCCAGCCATATGGGACTCTTTGGTCACATGCATGTAACTTGAAGTGAAATTAAAGAATTTTAAAGGCTATTATTTACATAATCGTGATTTCATTTGTTTGTAAAAATATGTTTATGGGTCTTGAATAATTCTTCACCTATTGTAATGGACAGGATTGGCTCTTCCACCCCTGGCCGCTTGCTAATCGCACGGTCAGTACTTCAAAGCCACCAGCTGCCCTGAGGGAGAAAGATGAGGCTTTCTGCTCCTGTAAAGATTTATAATCTTGGAAACCCACAACAGACAGTTTTGTTCAGCCCTAGAGGGTCTCTAAGAGTCAGAATTGACTTGATGTCATGGGCTCATTTGTGCTTTCTTTCTGTAGTAAGTAGTTTTGAATGGTTTCCAGCACATGTAAACTTGTCCGCTGTAGGTTACTCCATGAACACAAGTAGGCCTGTGCTTCTGTTGCATGCTGGGTAATCAACCTGTGCCCCTGGCTCAGGCTCTGGGTCATCTCACAGCTCCTCACTGCTTTGTACGGCCCCCTTCTCCCCACAGGCCTTTACCCAAAGCATTAACCGAGACAAACACTTGGCAGTGGCTTACTTCCAGCGGGGGATGCTCTACTTCCGGATAAAGAAGTAAGTAGTGCCGTGCTGCACACGCTGGGGGAGTTTACCGAGAAACCCTGGGGGAGCCCAGGGCTGCTGACTTGGTGTTTGAAAAGGGTCTTCCCAGCCTCCCTCAGGAAGCCTGGCTGGACTTTCTCTGGGCAGTTATGCAGTTAGTGTGAGGCTGAAGCCGTCACTGGTGAGGGAAGGCCGGTGAGTCACCCTGATTGTAAGTCATCTGTCTCCTAGCTCAGAACGCTGGGATGTGCAAACAGTTAATGATAGTAAGAAAAGGCTGTCTTGTTCTTTGCGCATATTATTATCTCTGCAGTTTTATCTAGATAAGATAGGTGGAATAGACAATCTGAAAGAGAAAACAACACAACAGCACCGGGGCCAACGGTTCCGGGGGTACATGGGAGAGGGGAAGGCGAGGGATAGGAAGTGGGTATTAACAAACCTAGGGACAAGGGAACAACAAGTGATCTAAAATCGATGAGGAGGGTGTAGGAGGCCTGGTAGGGTTTCATAAAGGACAATGTAACCAAGAAGAATTACTGAAACCCAAATGAAGGCTAATCATGATAGTGGGACAAGAGGAAAGTAAAAAGAAATAGAGGAAAGAACTAGGAGGCAAAAGGCATTTATAGAGGTCTAAATACAGGCATATACATATGTAAATATATTTATATATGATGATGGGGAAAGAGATCTATGTACATATATTTATAGGTTTGGTATTAAGGTAGCAGATAGACATTGGGCCTCTACTCAAGTACTCCCTCAATGCAAGAACACTCTGTTCTATTAACCTGGCATTCCATGATGCTCACCTTCCTGAAATGATTGCTGAAGACTAAGTGGGTGCCGAAGCAAATGTGGTGAAGAAAGGTGATGGTGCCCGGCTATCAAAAGATATAGCATCTGGGGTCTAAAGGCTTGAAGATAAACAAGCAGCCATCTAGCTCAGAAGCAACAAAGCCCATATGGAAGAAGCACACCAGCTGTGTGATCAATGGGATCAGGTATTAGGCATCTAAGACCCAGAACAAAATCATACACAATGTGAATGGGGGCTAGGGCACATGGAGTAGAGATCCAATGCCCATCTGCAGACAATTGGACATCCCCTCACAGAAGAGTCACAAGGAAGAGATGAGCCAGTCAGGGTGCAGTATAGCACTGAAAAAAACTCACAAATTTTCTCTAGCCCTTTGGTGCTTCTTTCCCCCCACTATCATGACCTCAATTCTACCTTACAAATTGGATGAGACCAGAACATGCTCACTGCTACAGACAAGAGCCTGAAACACAGGGAATCTCAGGGCCAACAATGAGAACAGAGATACCAGGAGGATAAGAGGAAGGTGGGGGGAGAAAAGGGATTAGATCACAAGGATCAATATATAACCCCCTCCCAGGTAGACAAACAACAGAAAAATGGGTGAAGGGTGACAAAGGATGATGTAAGATATGAAAATAATAATCCATAACTTATCAAGTTCATGAGGGAGGGCGGGCAGGCAGGCGGGCGGGGGAAGGAGGGGCAAAATGAGGAGCTGATACCAAGGGCTCAAGTAGAAAGAAATGCTTTGAAAATGATGATGGCAGCATATGTACAAATGTGCTTGACACAATGGATGAATGTATGGATTGTGATAAGAGATGTGAGAGCCACCAATAAAAGTATTTCATAAAAAGAAAAGGGAAAAAAAAATACCTTCCTTCATTCCAAGAAAATCTGTTTCCAAACCCATTTCATCAAAGTTAATTCATCCACAAAATGAGAATAGGAACTGTTCAGGAACTGTCTAAGTGATCGGGTTAACACAGGTAAGGGGACAGCATATGCACTGATACAAAAAGGCATCCATAGTCCCTGTTAGGTTAAACGCACAGATTGCAAAGCCACTGTGGCGCGGACTCGCCTGCATATGCCAACAACACAGCCCAGTGCTGTGTCCCGGAATCAAGTCTAGAAAGCTGTGGGCCAGAATGCCATCAGTAGCTCTCTCTTCAGGTCTGGGACTGTAGAAATTTTTGTTTTCTTCTCTAAGTTTATCTATATTTTTAAAAATTATTGCAATCGATGTTAATTAATATACAGAATCAAAGAAAATTGCAATCTCCACTCTATCAAAAACTACATATCAAATCTGCAAATAATAAATGAAACCTATTGCAAGGATCTATTTAAAGAATCTCAGAGAAGGGAAACCGGCCCTTTGTAGAAGTAGCTTTGCCTGCATGAGAGGTGGAAGAAATCAGCCCAAGCTAATGAAGAACTTTCTAGCAGTGAAAAGGGCCCAGACATGGTGTGCGTGAGGGTGCAGCAGGCCTATGAAGCATTGATGAGGCAGAGGGAACCCTGCAGAGGATTGCCCGCATGGGTGTCTGAGCCTTCTCTGAGCCTGAGCAATCTTGCAGACTTTGATCCTAGGAGTTGGTTACAAGCAGAGCCTGTAAAAAGCCTACATGCGGAGCTGTTGCTATGGGCAACTCTAAGAAGCTCAGAGGAGTTACAAGATGTAGGTGCATCAATTACCTGGATCAGTAAGAGCAGAAGTACGGTCTTCCCAGAAGAAAAGCAACAGGTAAAGACACAGAGGCAGTCTGGGGAGAGCAAACCTGTGATTGCAGAGAAGAAACACAGGTGTTTGCATCTAGGGACTTCTAGCAGCCTCCGGCTCCCTCCTCCCATCCTCCTGCTTCCTCCTCAGGTGTACAGAAGACCCAGAGAGACTGGGCTCCAAACCACCAGCTGATCTTGAATCTCAAAAGACAAACTCTAACCCCATCTTCTTACTTAGCCCTAAGAACCTGGAATGCTGACAGACATCCCCCAGGGGGTTGTCCAGAAGACCCATGGACTGGAAGGTTGGAAGCCTAGGATTTTCAGTGAGTTAGAAAGGAACTTTTCCTTCCAGGTCTAGGAATACGAGTGAGGATTCGATTAATCTTTGACTGCTAATCATTAAACTGGAGAAAACAATCTGCAAACAGTCATCTCTCGTGGGAGTAGCAGAAGCCAGCCAGTTGCTCTAGCTAGAATGGACCCCATGCGGCTCCCTGCAGCCCTCTGTGGGTCAGAGCGGAACTGTGTTTCCTAGGGTTTTAATGGCTGCTTTAGGGGGAGAGTCAATGGCCAGGCCTATATTTTGAGGCAACTGCCAGTGGAGTCAAAGGTCCCTCCTTTCAATTAGCTGTTGAGCACATGAACTGTTTTCACCACCCAGGGAGCTCCAGAAATAATATAAATGAGGCCCTGTTCTCCATCCTGAGGAGATACGTTTTCTTGTGCCTAATTCATAGATATTGGTGTTCCACTTAAGGTTCCTCTGCTCTAATGGTCTTGTTCCTATCATCCTAACGTGTCATTGTATAAGGTGCCAGTGGCTCCACTTTGACTCATGGTGACCCAGACCCTATACAACAAAGTAGAACTGCCCCACACATCTTTAAACCCAAACCAAACTCGCTGCCATCCAATGGATTCTGGCTCATAGCGACCCTATAGGACAGACTAGAACCGCCTCTGTGGGCTTGCAAGACTGGGACTCTTTACCCCAACAGAGAGCCTCATCTTTCTCCTGCAGAGCAGCTAGTCATTTTGAACTGCTGACTTTGAGGTTAGCAGACCAACACATGACCACTACGGCACAAGGGCTTCTCCGTACATCTTCACAGGATTGCAAATCTTCATGGGAGTGGGTATTCATTAAACAACAAAATTACCAACTATCTCCCCTGGAAAAGTGCACATGGCACATGTACTTTTATGTACAATTTCATGGATTTTCGTATTCCTTAACAATCCGTATGTGAGCCCTTAGGGATCCATTCTAAGCCTCCCTCTCCCATACCACTTATGTCCACCTACTAGAAGAGCCCAGCAGCTCTTCCATCCATATTTGGAATAAACCCCCATGTCCCTCCGCCTCAACCTTTTCAAGTTCCCGTCTTTTTAGTCCATCCACGTCTCTCTCTCTCTCCTCACCAGCACTGTCCTGTTCAGACGCTCCTTATGCACTAGGAGTATCGCAGGCACTTCCGAATGGACTTTCTGGCCCAGTTTGTCCCTTCTGTCCATGTTACAAAGCACTCTACATTTAAAAAAGGAGGACTGGCAGTACAGTAAGGAGCTCTGGTGGCTAGTGGGTTATGGATTGGGCTGCTAACCACAAGGTTAGCAGTTCAAACCCACCAGCTGCTCCGTGGGAGAAAGATGAGGCTTTCTACTCTGGTGAAAAGTCAGTCTCAGAAACCCACAGGGGCAGTTCTACCCTGTCCGTGATGAGTCAGGATCTGCTCGATGAGCGTGAGACCGGGCAGATTGGGAATCTCTTCAGACTTGTTACAGGGTCGTACACAATGGTCTCCCGTCTGTGTTTGATATGTGGTGCTGCTGTCCTGTCCCAGCATTGTGAAGTGGCGACAGAACCAAGCTGAAGGGCGTTTCTGAGAAGGCAGGTGTTGTCTCAGGGACGACTGTGGCCAGGTGGTCTCACCTCGGTGGCTCCAGCCTGATCACCGAAAAGGGGAAGTGGGCCCTGAATGATTCTTCAGAACCCATGCTGAATCGGGGCTGTGGAGATAATGCTGAGAACCGGAGCTACACACAAAGGAGCCGAAGCACCAGCGCGTGTGGGAGTTTTTCACTTTTCATGGTCCACCAGAGAATTCACACCCGGGGCGAAACGAGGCATTCACTCCGAAGACAGTCTCCATGCAGCATTAGAGAGTTCACACCAGCAAGAACCCTGGTGGATGTCAGGTGTGATGAAAAGCCTTCAAATGGTAGGGAAGCCGCGTGCTGCAGCAGGAACCGTACCCTGTGGAGAAGCCTGCCAAGGGTTTCTGGCCATCCCTGGTCAGTTCTCAGTGTCCTTCCCCAGCCGCATCTCCTGTTCCTTTGCAGAGTACTGCTCTGCTCCAGCTGGGCCTGGGTCTTCCCGGACCTGTCTACATGCTATGCTCACTCCTGCCCCAGGGCCTTTGTTCATGCCGTTGCCCGCATCTGGAATACCTTC